TATAACATTTTACAACTTGTTACATTTATTATTCCTTTTTTTCTTTCGGAAGCCATGACGAAACTAATCTCAAACGCAATCGACACGCGATATCGAGAATCATTGCTCTTTTAGAGCATAAAATAACGCCTAAAAAAGTCATCTCAATTAGCCTTAAAGGGTTCTTACTCGCAATTAGAGTTTAAATGACCACAGAACCACAGGATACATGCATACTATATATATATATATATATATTGTGTGTGTGTGTGTGTGTGTGTGTATGTGTATATAATGTAATACCACAGCAATCCGGTCTTGTGGACAAAGTGTACCGTTTAAACGGACTACCACAGCAGCCGGCCACGCTCACCGCGAGCCACGGTAAGAAATTTAATATCCGCGTGCAGAAGGATTATTTAAAGTGCCCGCTGGCTATGCTATCGGTAAAAAGTTTTTGAAGTAAACCATACTTTTCCCATGCTTCCTTGACGTCGGCCAGGATTGCTCATCTCGCTCGCCGCGCAGCAGATTGCTCTTTCCTTCCGTCTTTGTTCCGTCGACAAGTCTCTCAAGAATAATGTCGAAGTTATGTACGGAGTTATTTGCGAAATTTATTAATTATTTATCAATCTTTCGCCGACGAAACGAAACCACTTTTACACGCGGATACACGAACGCAAAAGAAAACAAAATTTACATGAATATTACAAATGGAAACTGATAAATGTATTATATATGAATGGAATAACTTAAAATGTATTTTTTAAATTTATTATGTGTCATGTCACATGAAAAAGGTCGATGTTTATAGTCGAGACGTTTTTTATGGTCGAGACGTTAAGCGAAATCAAATACGTCACGTAAGATTATGCGGGATTGTCTCTCGCTTGCTATTGTCTTGAGAATACCATTACGTCTACAATGATGAAGCCATTACGGCGGAAACAAGTACATGTCGGGAGTATTTTTCTATCCACGCGAAGCGTCTTTGGAAGCATCGACGAGCTGGGCGCCGCCGCGATGGAGACGATGAGTTCCAATCGATTGCCACTTGTCATTCGCATATTCGTAGCTGTTCCACTCATCCGCCAAACAAAGCGTGTGCCTAAAGTGTGTACGTATAGAGGCCGGCCGATGCAAAAAAAAAGAGGGGTAAAGAGTGGAGGGAATCAATAAAAGCATTTACTCTACCTTCAAAAGAATGGATGGAAGAAAGAGAGGAAGATAGAGAGTGGAGGTGGGTGGAGATAATGAACAAGAAGAGCTGAAGAGACCGAGAGAGAGAGAGAGAGAGAGAGAGAGAGAGAGACGGATGGGTTCGCAATAACAGTGCAAATTATTATTCCGCTCTCATCCACATCGATCGATATGTCGCTCCAGATCTATATATTGCGTGGCTATGATCTGGAAACCGACACCACCGACCTTCCCCTACCGAGTAACCCGCGGAATTAACCCAGGCAAAGCAAGACGGGACGGGGAAGTGGGAGACGATGAAGAGACCGAAGAGAGAGAAAGACAGAGAGAAAGGGAGGGTAGAAGAGGAAGAGAGAAAGAGAAAAAGGGAAAAAAGAGAGAAAATCGCAAAGAGAGTGTTCATGGAGCAGAAAAATATCGACAGATCGCACACATGTATACATACGTGCGCGCACACGACGTCGCTTTTAATAACCGATAATATTTAACGTGGGCCGAATTCAATTTGTAGGAAAAACAGAGGTACGCTGTTTCCTCCATCGAGAGATTCGATCGTTGACGATCGATTTTGCGGTGGCTCTTTCTCTCGTAGCCTCGATGTAGAAAAATTCTCTCTTACCTCTTTTCGCTGAAATAGGTACGTCGAAATATCGGCGTATTGCTTCACCGTGCGCTAAAACGCCTGCGCTAAAACCCAAGGAGAGATCGGGATACGAAATGCGCTTCTTGCCATTTCGATGATTTTTCGTAAGGAGAATCGTAGCTCGAGAATGCACAAAGTAGGGCGTTTTAGGCTTATTTGAAAATCCAGAGGTTTTTAAGAAATCAGGTTTCCGGTGTAAATAAATGTGTAAATAAATACCTTATTTTAGGTACATTTTATTTTAATTAAATTCTACAGAGCCACAGAGAGCGAGAGAGAGAGACATGATAATGTTGAAATGATATCCTAGGTGTGCGACATTCTGTTCATAATTATTACCTAAAAACGATAGCCTTAGAATTCCACGCATCATAACAATGGGAAATCCGCACGGGTGGATAAATGATATCACGTTGCGTTGTGTATCAAAGGTAACGTGCGAATTTATACCGATACACTGACGCAGTACAGGGGTGAGTGACGCCCGTTCGAAACGCTCGAAGCCAGAAAAATATTGAAAAATTGACGGGCGCACGCTGCTATACGCGCGCGAGCTCTGTAGTGTTTAATAATGGATAATATTTGATACCAGATCCGCCCGAGGGCAGGCACTCCCCCTCCGTGCCCATTCGTCAATGCGATCCGATATCAACTCGTTCCACAAAACAGTTTTACAACAAAAATTCAAAATAATAGAATAACCCTTTTAGGATCGGTTAAATCTCCCTTACTAAACTTTGCTCATCGATATGTTTTCACTTGCATGCACGTTTATCACACATGTATCATCTCGTCTTATTGTATTCGCGTTTCTTATTTAATACTTTGAGGACTGGAGCTTTAAAATAAAGTAACTTATGGAAGATCTTACTTTCTAAAAGTTTTCGGAGTTACTTAATTCAATTCTGGTCTCAGAATTTTAAAATTCAAATTAAAAAAAGAATCTGATTACCATGAGACTTGATTTTAGAAGATTTGTCTGAGTTAAAATGTAGTCTAAAAATATCGAATTTCAAAAGGAAAGTAACCTCTATAAAGGAGAATCTAGTCACAAGATTTATAATCATTGATCATAATTATTAATCAGAGTTTGAAAGTCAGTAGAAATCATAGTACTAACTATTTACGTATTAGCTTTCGATGAGCTTCAAATAACGAAACTGGATACTTGATATACTTCGTAATTAAAAAAACTCTCTAAAACCAAATTTTATGATCAATTATTTTTTAAAATTCTATTCCCATATTTTATTTATCACTTTGAATTTTTTATTTTTGATCTCAGATTCGAATAAAGCATTATCAATCCCATAGGCGAAGTTTCATAAAAATTGAACAAACAGTTTATAAAATGAAAGAAGATGATCCCAAACGGGGGTCACCGGTCCACAAAGGGTTAAAGTTAATGTATGCGTAAAAAGTTAAAAATTAATGTATGTATAAAATATAAATCTAAAAGAAAACCTTTTTGTATGACTGAGGGATAGATTTAGAAGAGAGACAGAGAAAAAAGAAAAAGATATCTTCTGGGGACAAGAAGTAGAGCAGTATAATGGATTTCCAATAGTAAAATTGACAGCTACCAGTTTGAAATTTTACGCGTAACGAGCGAATGTTACGCGAATATTTATCTCTTTAATGATATTACAATAATTTTATTGAGAATTACGTTGTCTGATTTACGTAACAGCTTTGATTACTCCATACTCGACTTTATTATTGTCAGCATTTCCCTCTGATATTTTCGTAAACTTCCTAAATCAAATTATCGCGAAATAACAATTTTGCTAATTATCGGTAATATCAGGTCTTAATTGGGCGATCATCATTGGCGTATTTTGCACCGCCTGTTACGATAGAAGTATTTATTGCAGCCGGACGTGCTGTCCGCAGTGAAAGAGTCCGCGGCCCAAAAGCGGGATAATTCTCCGGGCATCGAGATAATAAATTACCCTCGGACACCGAGAGTAGCGTATACGATCGTATACCGTTCCCTTTTATCGAAATGAATATTGTAATTTCCAACCGACTTTCTCTCTACCACGCCGACTCCTCCTTTTTTTCTATCTTCTCCTTTTGTTTCTGTTGCAAAACCACGCTTGCGCCATGATTTATGCCGTTGCTTCCTTCGGCTTGCGAGAAATTTACGTACATGTAGCAGAGAAATTGCAGTTTCGCGGACCGTAGGGACAAGGGAATGCACGTGGCTTTCCCCCCCTAACAATAATTTTCATCCGTCAAAACTCGTACTTAATATCCAACAAAATAATTCCTCGCGCTTGATACAATCGCTTTTTCCCAATTTTCGTCCGTTAAAAATTCAATGTTTAGCAAGTCGCTTGATTAAAAATTAAAAATAAAATTTGCTATCCCGTATATATATATATTTTTTTGCGTATAATGCACATTTTTAATATTGCTGTCACGTCTCATTTAGATTCCATCGTTACTCGAATGTATTCTAATATTACGTTTTCAGCTATGTAGCAGCGTTTTTCTGATAATACATCCCGATAAATTCGCAACGTTTCTCCGCGAAGCTTTTCAATTATGAATTACTACTACGTACCTCTCAAGTTTCTGTCTCTCGTTTCCCCCCTCCCCTCTGCCCTCTCACCCCCTCTCTCTATATCGATCTTTGCATATACATATATACGCGTACATATGCACGATCTTTGTATCAATAGTGATACGTCAAACATTCTGTCCTATAGGTTACCGCTGGTACACCGAATGTGCATGCGTATATACTGAAGTAGTATATCTGACAGTCTCCCGCGAAACTTCGTAGTATTTGCGTCTACTTCGTGAAACTTGAGAAGATAGTAATTTGAAGCTCTCGTCGACCCCTACGAGTGTTTATTCCGGAAGTACATATCGCACTACCCGCGACGCGGGACCGGGACATACGTGGAATATTCATAACACTTTCACGCGCCTTCCCACCGTTCCATTGTAAATGACTTGCAAATGTTTCGCTAATTACAATAGAGTCGAGCGGGGTGCTTGCTAAAGCCCGGTTAATGAGCGACGTTGGAATAAAACAACGGGAGGGATGAAGATACGTGCTCCAGTGAAATGACTGCTTGTGGAGAGAGATCTCCGCATTTCATTTATTTTATGTATAATATATATATATATATGTATATATATATATTTTTTTTAATTGTTATTACAGGCAAGAACTTGAGCGAAAGAACGAGCAGTGCGAGCGTTGTTTAAAAGACAACGAGAACTCTCTGGTGCCCTTCGACCCCCGCATCAACAAGATGGCTCAATTGATTTCAGACAAGGAGAAAAGTACGTAGCGTATGTCTTGTTCTTGGCGTATGTCAATCTTTTTCATTAAACTCGATACGAGAAACTCGATTCATGTTCCGTTCTATTATAATTTAATTTTAATCTCGATTCAAGTACCTCTTTATCTTTTTCCAGTTCTGAGAAAAAGAAGATGAAGGGGAAGTTGAACTGAGATTAAAAATTGGTGGAATCAGAGATTCAATATAAATCAGTGTACACATGTTGTACACACATGGAGGAAAATCATGTAAAGCGTATAAATGTGACGTGATCAACGTGAAATGAAGTTAGAAATCCGGATTTCCAGCATATGGGGATCGCAGAATACGATTTGCTCTAACTTAGTAATAAGCTACTGATTATCCGCGAACGATAAGATATTACGGACGCCGTATGCTGATGCATTACTGGCAACTCGGAGAATCGTGCATCGCACTCGGCGAGTATGGTGTGATACGCGGGCGCGTAATGTTATCACGGGGGCGGTTCTAAAGTGTAATCTGCGGGGATAACAAGGAGGTTAGCGAAGCAAGATTGGCGTCAATATCGTTACCGGGACGCGCGCATGCAAGAGGAAGAGAGTGAGAGAGACGAAGAGAGCGAGAAAGGGTTAAGAGAGGGAGAGGAGGAGGAGGGGAGGTCCGCAATAAAGGCGGGCGTAATAATGTCTCGCGCGATGTCGTCTTCCTCCTACGTGTATCCGGCGTCAAAATGCAGGAGCCATTCCTAGATTATGCGCTCCTATTGTCTTGCGTCTATTGACTGCCTTAGAATTGCGCTAGAGACAGTTTCCGGATACGTCATTTTCGAGTTCGCCAAGTAGAATAAGGACCGCGCCAATGGATACGTCTCTTGTATATAATAAGAATTACAGTATTAACTTAGTCGTGCACGGTACGACGTAGCATATATTACGCACATCTGAAGCGATTTCGTTTATAAAAATTTGTATTCTTATAGAAACGGAGTAGTTAATATCGATGAAATAAATCGTTCGGAAAGAACGTCAACGAGAACGTGTATGCAAGTGCGTACGAAAGAGAGAAATGTGAAGCGAAACGAAGTACATAGCGCAAATCGGATATTCGGATATTCCGTTAAAGAGGTTCTCGTGCTTCCTAATCAATAACTTGAATTTGTTTAATTATGTAAAATGGTTAAAATAGTAATAAAAACATTATCAACAATTCGTTAATGTCATTAATAATTATAAAGGATACATTAAGTTTATTCCGATAAAGTTCTGTATATTTTAAATTCGTACAATTTGAGAGGAATTTATATTTTTGAATGAGACGTTTGCATATAAAATAGAAATTTCAGAAATATTAACGTTACATATTAAGAAAAAGTATACTACAGGATAAAATTTTGCGTATCTTGGAATATAAAATTCTATACATTTAGAATTAAATATCTTCACATGAAAATCGGTGAAATTTCTTTTAGATAATGATGTAACCAATTTTTGTATCATATATGTATTATAAACTTGTTTTATATTTCATTAAACGCGAAAATCTTCTTAAGCCTTTCATCCCGGATAATTACACGCATTCGTGGAAGGCACCTGCGCACGTAACGTAGACTATCACATGCTTTGCCTCGCGTTCAATCCGCGCGTCATAAACATACGTGCTTGCGAGATGGAAAAAGATAGGAGGAGAGTGAGAGAACGTGCGAGAACGAACCAACTACCACGTATTCTTCGCGGAAATTCTGCGGTGACTTCGCAAGCGATATCGAGTTTCGCCCCGTCTCGTAGTCGTCGCGGTATTGTCGACGAAAATCCTATTCACCGGCAGCGGTGGCGGTGGTTGGTGGTGGCGACGACGACGGCGGCAAGCGCGATTCTGCCTTGCACAAAAGCCAACCGTTGCCACCCCCGCCATCGTCGCCCCGCAAAATATGTGATTCGTGAAGCCCGGCTTAAGATCCCCGCGTCGGAACCCCGTGGTGTCGCGTAAACTTGCATTCTCACCATCCGTCGCGACTTGCCATTCTCTGGATGGACTTAACGACGCTGCACCACGAACCTTCCTACCGTGTTACAAGCGCGATCGAACATATATCTAAGAACGTCTCTAAGAGCCCAGGCGAGAACAACGTCACGTTCTTTGTTCTTTGCAAACATTCATTCATCTTGGAAGTACGCCAATTGCGGAGATTGCGATGATTTATCAGAAATAGCTGTTATCCTTTTGCCAGTTAAGGAGGTGCTGTCTGTAGGTACATTTTGCTTCTGATAGCAGTAATTAACTCTAGTTCTTAAAACCCCCCCTCAGACCTGATTTTATTGGAACCAATTTGTTAAACAATTTTTTTTTAATTTAATTTAACCACTTTAATAAATGATTCATACCAAACAATTCATTTTTACCGAAATTTTGATTATTTTTCCAACATTATTACGTACATCTGATAATATTGATAGAATTAAATAATTTTTAATGGATAACGTCTTCAAATTTGATGTACATTACAATATACACATAATTCAAAAGGGTTAATGATTTAAGGTTATTAATTTAAAGGTTATTAATTTTAAAGTAAACATTGCAAATATGGAAGAATGAGAAAAAAAAAGATTTAAAGAAAGAATGGAAAAATATGAAAAATAGCTTAAAAAATTATTGTACACAAACATTTGTTCGAATGTCTTCTTCAGATGATCGAACGCGACTCGTCGTTTTACTCGAGCGACTCGTTTCCGCGATCCGTTTAAGCGGAAAGCTCGCGTTCCGACAGCTCTCTCGATATTTTCGCATCGCTTGCGAACGTCGTGCAGGCGGATCGCGCAACTCGTAATTCCATTCGCCAGGAACTCTGAACAGGGCGAACTCGGTTAGCCCCGTTTTGTAGCACGGCAGGTCTGTTCCTCGATAACGCCGCCACGCTATTTATCGGCTCACGCCCGTGAGCGCTTCTAACCGATGCATGTAACCGCATTCGCGTCGTTCCAAAGAAGCCGCGTCGTCGGCGGAAAGGAGGAGGTGTGCCGAGAGAACGCGGGTGGATTCAAGGGAGAATGGCAAATTGAATCCCGTGGTAGTGTGTTCCAACGAACCCGGGGCTCCTTCTGCGGAAAACGACACCGTGTCTCTCCATACTCTCCTCTCTACCTTCCCCCTCCCCCTCCCCCCCCCCCCCCCCTCTCTCTCTCTCTCTCTCTCTCTCTCTCTCTCTTTGCGAGATCGATGGGGAATCGAGTTATCGGCCTTAGTAGATCGAGCGTACCTGCGCCGCGTTAACCCACGAAACTTTATTGGCAATGCGCCGCATCGCGCGAATCCACGCGTGCCCGGACTCGTGATCGCTCTCTGTGAATTCCGTGAAAATCGACTCTCCCTCGTTCGTCTCTCCCTCCCTCCCTCACTCTCTCCTTCTGTGTCTCTCTCGGGTCTGTCGAGCACGGGTACTTGCGAGCTCAGTAAACCTACCCTTGCCCCTGGAATGAGAAACTTCTTCCTCTCGCGGCTTTCCGGTTTCCGGTGAGCGAGGGACGATCGGCGGAAGTGAATCCAGTGGGCTTTCCCGACCACGACGACGATGGTCTGATGGTCTGATCCACGATCGTACCATACCCGGGAACTCAATATCGTGAACAGGCGCGAAAAATGAAGCGCATCGGATGGCTTTTGGGTATTTTCGAGGTATTTTGGTTATAAAGAGAGATTTTGGCGACGCCGATAAAAACATGTGACAACTACAGATTTGAAACACATCTAAAAAATTATTTATATCTTTAAGATTGTGAAAAAATTTAATAACTGTAAATGTGTAAGACATCTAAACAGTTGCTATTGATAAATAACAAAAATGTTTTAATTAGTGGCATTGAGATTTTTTTTGAGAACGTACAACATCTGTATATCGAAGTTATCGAAAAGATATCTTTTACATAATTTTTAGATATTCGATATTTTGCACAGAAGAAAACTATTTTTAAATCGACTATAGTATCTATTTGTATAAGCTAAAATATTGTAATCTTGCTTCAAAGATTTTAGTTTTGATTGGATTAAATTTGATGCAAGTATTGCTTTGTATTCAATTCAAGGCTAAAAATCTTGCATTAATACGAATTCATTATTCAAATCAAATCTAAAATCTTTGAAGCAAAATTACAATATTTTTGCCTACATATTTAAAAAAATATATTATTGTCGATTTAATCTTTTTTTCTATACGAATGTTACAGACATAGACAATGAGAACTCAACGCCGTGTTGAGCGTAAAGATCGATGAAAAATTACAATTCTCTGCGGATTTTTTTTCTTCGCCCGCCTCATGTCCCACCCCCCTGATTAAAAAACTGTCAAGCTGCAGTTCGGTAACTCAGTTTGACAGTCGAATATCCAACCACTCGTCCGGATGACAGACGGTAGAAGGGTAACCGATTGTTGATGTCGAGTCTCAAAACGGCGCGACGTTTATACGAACGATGCCGAGAAACGGGAGACAAAAGCGCGCGCTTTATTCCATATCGAGTGGCGGATTCGAGTTTCTATGGTCGGATTAACGCTGTGCGCCCGCCCTCTCTCTCTCTCTCTCTCTCTCTCTTCCACTCCCCCTTCTGTCTCTCTTTCCGTGGTATCAGTGTACGGGCTTTATGTTTGATTCTCCCGGAAACTTCTGGCAAGTTGCATTAGGATTGAACTATGCGCGCGGGCGGTATTGATCCTTGATAGTTCGCAAGCGCTCAGCAAGAATATAATTCGCGATACCGAGTAACGAGCTTAATCTAGCAAGTCACTCTGCCAACTATCGATCTCTTGTTGCCGAGATATTAACGTCCGACGTGCATTAGGCGTGTCGGAAAAAAAAAAACTCTCGCGCGCGCGCGTGGAATGAGAAGAATGACAGGGGTGGGTAGTAAAATTTGCGATAAAATATCCAAAATATTCTCGTTCCTTCCTTTATTATTTCATTTTTTCCAAGGTACTCTCTGTTCGTAAAACAGGATAATTACGATAATAAATCATAAATGTTATTCTCC